AGGAAGAGAAAGTGAGAGAGAAAGAGAGGGAAAGGAAGGAAAGAAAGAAAAAGAAAGGAAGGGAAAAAAGGAAGGAAAGGAGAAAGAGAAAGTGAGAGAGAAAGAGAGAGAAAGGAAAGAAGGGAGGAAGAAACAAAGTAAGAAAGGAAGAGAAAGAGAGAGAAAGGAAGGAAAGGAAGAAGAGAGAAAGGAAGGGAAAAAAGGAAGAAGGAAGGAAAGAAGGAAGGAAAGGAGAGAGAAAGAGAAAGTGAGAGAGAAAGAGAGGGAAAGGAAGGAAAGAAAGAAAAAGAAAGGAAGGGAAAAAAGGAAGGAAAGGAGAAAGAGAAAGTGAGAGAGAAAGAGAGAAAGGAAAGAAGGGAGGAAGAAACAAAGTAAGAAAGGAAGAGAAAGAGAGAGAAAGGAAGGAAAGGAAGAAAAAGAGAGAAAGGGAAAAAAGGAAGAAAAAAGGAAAGAAAGAAGGAAAGGAGAGAGAAAGAGAAAGTGAGAGAGAAAGAGAGGGAAAGGAAGGAAAGAAAGAAAAAGAAAGGAAGGGAAAAAAGGAAAGAAAGGAGAAAGAGAAAGTGAGAGAGAAAGAAAGAGAGAGAAAGGAAGGAAAGAGAGAACGAAAGAAAAACAGAGAGAGAGAAAAAAAAAGAAGGAAGGAAGGAAAGAAAGAAAAAGAAAGAATAAAACTGGAGGGGAGCCATTAGGAGCCACGGATGCTAAGAAATTGAACTGCCTGATGCAGGTATTCCTCAACTTATAACAGTCTGTTTAGTGACGGTTTGAAGGTAGAACAAGACTGAAAAGAGGGACCCAGGAGGGTTTTTCCCACTGACCACCGTTGCAGCCGCCCCGTCCGTGGTCACCCAAGCAAAATTCGGACACTTGGCAATTGGCATGGGCAGCTCACAACAGGTTGTTTAGGGATCGTTCAAATTTACCATGACACTGAAAAAAGTGACTTACGACTATTTTTCATGCTTACGACCGTTCCAGCATCCCCATGGTCGCGTGATTAAAATTCGGACAATTGGCAACCACCTCGTATTTATGACGGTCGCAGAGCCTCAGGGTCACGTGATCCCCGCCCTTTTGCGACCTTCCGACAAGCAAAAAGTCCATGGGGAAGCCCAGGTTTACTTAACAACTGCAGTGATTCACTTAACAGCGGTGGCTGTAAAGGGGACCAAACTCACTTAGCAAATGTCTCAGCAACAGAAATCCTGGGCTCCATCGTGGTCATAATTCAAGGACTATCTGTGTCAATTCCTAAAGTTGCCATGGGGAGGAAAGGGAGGAGGGAGCGCATTCCACGCATGCTTTCGGCTAAAGTCGGATCTCAGATGACTGCAGCAGGCTTGGGAGGGGGGCACCTCATTGGGGAATGTGATTTATGACACAGACTGAAGGTTGGGGGGGGGGAAGGAAGAGGGGTAAAGTTCAGCTATAATTCAAATGAGGCTCAGATCTGACTGCAAAAGAGGCCTTGCCAAATGGGGCTCCTAACAAAGGACTGTTTCTCTTTTGAAACTTGGCTCGAGACTCATGAATCAATTAGGGCACTTTTAGGAAACCTGACAACCTGCAGTTGGAAGGGACCTTGGAGGTCTTCTAGCCCAACCCCCGGCCACCCCAAACCCCCCGGGGCTTCCCAGAGACTGACTGCTGACCCAGGTGGAGCAGGGAGAAGAGAGAGCCCCCCCCCACCTCTCACGGGGCCCCCTTACTCTGAGATGTAGATGCTCTTCTTGAAGTAGGAGGTGCGCATAGCTGGGTTCCTCAAGCTGTCGTAGATCAGGCCGAGGTTCAGGTAGAGCCGTGCCCGCATCTCGCTGCCCTCCCGCTGCGGCACCTGCCCTGCAAGGAGGAGAGAGCTGGCAGGATCCGATCGGACTCGGTCCCTGAGACCAAAGCTTCGTCCGTCCGATCTTTCTCTCTGGGCTTTTTTTAAAACAGATTAAGAGTCAGGAGGGACCTTGTAGGTCATCTAGTCCAACCCCCCTGCAGGAGACCCGACGACACCATTTCTAGAACGGGCTGCTCCACCCGTCGTGCTTATGTGCCTCCTGGCCGTGTGTAGGTTTTTGTTTTAGAAAGGGGATGGACCCTCAACCTGTCAGGTGCTTGGGAGCCAAGGGCTGGCGACACAAGGAAACAACTTAGAACTTAATAGCCGGCCATCAACACCCTAATTAACAATTAATAGTTACGCACAATCACATAAATGCAATGTGTGGAAGGATCCTTGGTGCTCTCTGACTTTCCTTCTTTCCTTGCAGAGGAAGGAAACTGGGTGATATTAGCAGAGATGCTGTTACCTAGTTTGGGTCAGGGAACCAAGCAAGCTCAGAGAGCACCAAGGACTCCCCTGTCCATCCTTTCCTTCCTCCCTTCCTTTCCTTCCTTCCTTCCTTCCCATTCTCTCCTTTTCCACTGCACAAACTGCCCTTCCTTCTAGCACTGAGGATGTTACCTGCTTGGATCATGAAACATCTGTAAGAAAAACAAGCAAGCTCAGAGAACAAGAAGGACCCCAATTGTCTCCTCCTCCTCCTCTCCCCTCCTCCTCCACACAAACCCTCAAACACTGAGGATGTTACCTAGTTGGGTCATGAAACGTCTGTAAGAAAACAAGCAAGCTCAGNTGCTATTGCTGCCGTTAAAGGAGGATCATGGGACATTAAAGGATTCCCAGGCAGCTCTCAAGCAGGCAGGGGAGTGGCTGTTGCCTGGAAGGGGGGCAAGCAGGGCGGGGGAAGGGGCACTTGCAAACTTCTGGGCCAGCCTCCCCAATGCCTTTGCTGGCAGGAGCCCTCAGACCAGGCTACTGGCCCCTGCTCAGCTGTGGGGCCACCGGGCTCAGAATGCAGCCTTGCAAGTTGCCTCTGCCCACTGCCAGGAGATTGATCCTGACGGGGCTGGAGGTTGACTCAGCCTTCTGAGGTTGCTAAAACGAGGACCCGGATTGTTGGGGGCAACCGGCTGCCCCTGTAAAGTGCTCAGAGAGGGTCGCAAGCGCCGTGAAGCAGGATAGACGCTATCTAAGGGCTATTGCTATTACAAGGGCCGATCGTGTGGCTCCTGGAACCGTTGTGTGAGCTGGTGGTCAAGGGGCAGACCGTGCTCACGTGACCCCGGGGGGGTGGGGGCAGCTGGAAGTGTGAGGGATCCCATTACAACCCCAGGTAGAAGATGAGCTGGTTTGGGTTTTTGGAGAGGTTTTCCAGACTGAAGCTCAAGGAAACCCGGGAAAACAGAAGCCTCTTGGGACTTCTGGCATGATCGGCCACTGAGTTACCCGGGAGGGTCTGGGAAGCCCCCCAAAGCAACCCTTCAGCTGGGCCTATACTTAAGGCCGAGTCTCTTCCTTGCCTTCCCCTGGGGGTGGGTGGGGGTGAGGGTCTATTCCCCCTAACGGTGCTGTCCCCCCCCCTCTGCACGGAAGGCTGCAAGGCCCCCACCTTCTCCCTCTTTGGCGCAATGGCATCCAGTTCGTCAATGAAGATGATGGCAGGAGCGTTCTTCTCGGCTTCCTCGAAGGCCTTCCGCAGGTTGCTCTCCGACTCTCCTGCCAGCTTGCTCATGATCTCGGGACCTGTGGAGAAGCAGGGAGAGGGCGTCCGCCTCTTCAGAGGGCGGCAGCCCCGAAGGACACCCAGGGGCCCTCCCCTCTACATCCAGAGGGCCACAGCCAGAGGTCCCAGAGGACCCGTGGCCGGAATTGGAAACTGGGAAGTGGAAGGCTGGCCGCCCATCCCGTCCCAGGCAACTCTCATGCGGATTCAATAGACACCAAATGAAATCTGGTTCTGTTTTGGTTCACGTCCTCACCACCACTATAGACTGTCCTCAACTTATGACCACAATAGAGCCCCCAATGTCTACTGCTGGGCGAGACAGTTGTTAAGTGAGTTTTCCCCATTTTACACCATTTCTCGTTACAGTTTAGTGAATCACCGCACTAGTTAGGTTAGAACAGTGTTTCTCAACCTTGGCAACTTGGAAGATGTCCGGACTTCAACTCCCAGAATTCCCCAGCCAGCGAATGCTGGCTG